TTGTCCATGTTTCTGACCTGTTAAGTAACGAGTTCTAATTCGCCATCGGATTGAACTGCACGGTTAAAGTGTTGGCAACACATTCCTCATATACCTGCAGTTTATTTGTGTTACTGAAAATCTTGGGGAACCTTCAACAGCGCAAGTTTTAGTAATATTATTACTCTTATGCCTGTTGACCCAAGACAGCATCCCTGAGTCTCATGACAGCCCTGCCAAGTTTAAACAGAAGCATTTACAACGAGCACAGCCAAGATGTTGGCAAAACATCTGGGACTCTCAAATTTCAAAATAATGTGCGTCGCCAACGCCGCCGAGAGGATTGAGACTCACGATAACATCTTCATTCCATCATGTGCACGTGGTCTTGATGACATAGCTCAAACTGCTGTTTAATCACGCGTATATATTTATTAACTGATGATACCTTTGAGAATAGCTTTTCCCCTTTTTTCTGGCAACAAACCAGGTGTTAAGATGTTAAAACAGCAAACTGAAACCTTTTGAGACTAGGCTCAAAAGAAAGCTGTCTCTGGTGTGGACTAATCAGTTTCAAAGACAATGCATATATTATCAGAGTACGTTTTTTGGTTGCATTGTGACCACAAGTATTGTGGTTAATGCAGACATGATTCCTTGTAAAAGGTTTCAGTTTGGTGTCTTAACATCTTAACACCTGTTTTGTTGCCAGACAAAGGGGTAAAACCTAGTCTCATATTTTGGTACTGGCAAAGGAGGTCCCATGATGATGATACCTCTTCTTCTTGGTTCTTTCGGTAAAGTCACGTATAATGGAAATAATAAAATAAAAAAATAAACCAATAAAACAATTATTTTAATATGTTTTGTTTTAAATAATAAAATAATAAAAGAAAGCATTTCGAAATAATTATTTTATTATGCTTTATTTTTATTATTTTATTATTTCCATTCTACGTGACTTTACCGAAAGAACCAAGAAGATGAATCCCTGCAGTCACGAAAGCTTTAAATCGATGATACCTCTGTTGGAAAATGGCCGTGGTTTAACAGTTCGCACCCTGGACTTGCATCAAGAGGTTCGCCGGTTCGATCATCCCAGGGCCGAATTTGAAATCAATGGGAAAGTTTCTTAAATCGCCCCACCTCTGTCTACCCAGCGGTATCGTCGGGTCGCGTCTGGTGGGGTAAAGTGTGGGTACTCGCACATCTAGAAGCCATTCTACTAGCAGTGGTGTGGTCACGCTGTTGCAGTGCTCCACCTTTGAACCTTTGCGCCTTTATGAAACGCCCCGTTTGTGTGTTTCTCCACCTCCCTGAATTCTGCAGTGTCTAAGGTGGCCTGCAGCTCTGAGTTCGGCTGTCCGATCAAATGAGAATATTCCGGCACCTCTGAGTGACTGCTCCCAGTCTTCCCCGCCCATTTTCCAGTGCCCTCACCTTACATCCACCCCCGCACTCCTTGTGATCTTGCATCAGAAGTGTCCGGGGTGTTTTTATATATATAGAACAACATTTAAACAATGCTCTCTATACTCCAAACAACATTAAAAGAATGAGTGCAACTATTAAGGAGGCGCTGAGCATGGCCGATGAATAATTTATCAAACCTAGTGCCAAGGAGTTGCGTACGTTTTTAATTACTTAGACTCTAGCGGGAGAGGAGCAGACAGAATGTGAAATTAAAAGGCTTTAATGGTTTGATCACTCTTTGTATGGCTTTCATTGGAAAGATCTGATTCAAGAACCGTATTGTGAATTCTCGATCTGGCCTCTTGTTAGATGCTATTTTTTTTCGGGTGACATTTTCAGGTTTTTTGGTCTCTCTCTCTGTGTGTGTGTTGCGATTCCAGTAGGGAGTAAGTCACGGGGGCTGAGTTGTGAGTGAGTTAGGACACGTGTTTGATGGGGACATATTACATTGAACAAGACTGATTTTTTTTTTACTTTACATCCATCTCGAAAATTGAGGCACGTATTTTGTTGCTGTATTGTGGTTAATTCGAGAATTTGATTGTCAGAAGTTTAACAAAAATTGTTGTGTAAAAAAAACATTCGTTGAGAATAATTATGCTAGGTGTTCAAATGCACAGTTGCTTGTGCATGCTTGTGAATGTACACACACACACGTGTGTGCAAATTAAATCTGTCACGATTAAATTAGCTCAACTGTAGGATAACACTTTGATCCGCAGACACATGTTGGCTTCCCTTGTTTTACAAAGCAAGCGAAAATGCTCAGAGATTATGAATTATCCTGCTTTGCTGCAGAAAGAAAATACCGCTGTCAAAAAAATGATTCCTATCAAAAGGCCAACATCAAGACTGAATAAAAATGGCACAAAGGATTTTTTTTTTCTTTTCAGAATTTTTTTTGTCGCTTTTCAGTTTTTATTTTTTTTAAACCATTTTCAACATTCGCAAGAATCGATAAGAGACGGGGCAGAGTGGAATATTTCCGACGTGTTATCCCCCGCGTCGCTTCTCTCGCCGCGGTCGGCCAACGTGCACTCGGCTCGCCGTAAGACTGCTGAGTCACGTGCCTGCCTGCCTGCCTCGATGTCACCCACGCTCCTCTCCCACTGCCACCTGAACATCACCTTGGGTTGCACCTGGAAGGCACTTGGAGGTCACGAGCAGAATCATTAGCTCTCCGACGCAGCTTTATGTTGTACCGTGTGAACTGGCATTCCTCAGAGGCTGCACGGCACAACCGCAATTATTTCCCCCTACACAGCAGGGGAAATATTTGTACAAAACCAGGGCTGTTTTGTCCTGATATTTTACAATGTTCACGTTCTGTGGTGACGAGCCCAATAGCTAAAATGTAGTGCTCTTTCCATGAGCATTGGGCTACTGAATAGCTTTTGTTTAATGAGAAACAAAGGCCCTTAGAGTCCTGACTGCCGAGGAGACCTGGAAGGTCAGAGCTAGTTTAGCATTGTCCTATTGAGGTGAATGTTGCTACTGCTGTAAAGTATATGTTCAGAATGGCTTTAGATCAAAGGATTTTAAAAATATAGATTTTTTTTGTCCTGGAGAGATAGACCACCTCCTGTCTGTTCATTATTCATTCACTAAAATATATTGACAGATGATTGTTTTCAATCATTGCAACCTCGATTATAAGAGTTGCGCATTTATAAATGTACCTGCTTGCATTGTAGGAACTTGGACTCTTGACAAAGCCATGGCATTAATGCTGACCAGTAAGCAAAGATGCGTGGAGAGGTGCATGCTGGGAATTGAATTGAGAGACACAAAAGAGGAACACGCGGATTAAAATACAAAAGCGAAATCGGGGGACATCATGTGGACTGTTGAGCAAAAGCAAGCGGGCTTGTGTGGGTAGACCTCAAGAAAGGATGACGGCCGTTGGATGGAGGCTTTTGATGGAATGGCAGCCGGAGGCGAGGCAACACACCAGACAGTATGGCCACCACGGGGGGAGTGGAGCGATGAGTTAAGCTCACGCGCAGCAACGAGGTGGGCTTGCGACATCACAGGACCACGAGGGATCGGTGGTGACTTGGAGAGGCTTTCACCCAGCGGTCGATTCGTCGTGGTCAACAGCGGTGGTGGTGATGGTCATCGTGATCCTTCACCAAGGCTCTTCGTGACAAACTCCTGAAGGCCTTGTTTCATTTAAGACCCAGTCCAACCTTCAGTAGAACGTGATTATACGCGTCATCAATTTTTGGTGGCCTGTGGTGTCACCTTAAAGTAATCTTGATCCAAGATTGGTCACTAGGGGAGTGTCATTACTGTCACACCCGAGCGGGTTCGTCTGGATAGCGCCGGACTATTATAGAGCTATGATATTTTTTTTATAGTATATGATGCTTATATATATTATACCTCTTTGGGTTCCTGATGAACGGTGTTGAGGGGGTGGGGGTGACCAGTCGTCGTCGGCAGTCCAGAAACATCCTTTGTTGTACTCTACTTCTTTCCTTTCATGTTCACACCTTCACCAAGCCGCACGACTGACCAGCGTGGTCAAGTATGGTCAAGGTCAAACCACCCTCCCCGTGACCTGCGCATAGGCATGGGGAGACCCTCATCCAGCAGTGGATTGACCACAGGGCAAAGCCTTCTCCAGTGTACAACTGTCACTGCATATTCCTGTGGAACTCAAAATAACTCGGACGCCAATAACCAACGTAAAATTGTTGATTTATTCGTATTACCAATCGCCAGGCTCAAACTGACAAACTCTGTGCGCTTAACAGACCCTTGGCGTTGCATGCGTAGTAGATTATTGTGTTATTTTACGCCGTGCTTTTGAGAAGGTTCCAGCTAAAGTCCTTTGCCGAAGGGGTGCGATCCCTCCAAGGTACACGGTCAGGTTGAATTGTGTCGGAGAGAGGCGAGCTTTTGGATCTGTAGAAAGGGAGGAGCGGGTGTTACGCAATGCTTCACACTGTCGCCTGAACGTGGTCAGCTTATCCTAGAACAACTGGGCATCGTTAGTTCAAGGGACGCAAACGGCACGACCATTTGTTGTTCGCTTGCTTTGCCGCCGTTGCGCCGTCTGTTCATTTCTCTGTTCGTGATGCTCGCTGAGCTGAATTGGCTCGCGGCGGCTTTTGGCTAACCATCGAACAAAAGACGGCCACTGCATCGCGCGCTTTCAGATGCGTTTCCGCGGCCGTCTGGAACGCTCTTCTATCCGATATTAGGAAGCCGCTGGAGCCGTGCACTTTTAAATCTAGATTGAAAGCTATTTTATTGAGAACTGCTTTTTGTGTTTTCTTTGTTGTCCTTCCCCCGCACGGATAGCACGAGTGGCTACGTACGGCGTGAAAGCGGTTCAACATGCATACAAACGTAAACGCTCTCGCAAGTCTTGCTTGAAAAACGTAGGGTATTATCTCTATGAGATGTCACTTTGGTGAAGGCTGGGAATTTAAAGAAAAAAATCTAATTGCTGCTGCTATTATCAATGCCATGTGTAAAGCCGCTCTCATAAATGTGACTTTTTAATGCCCTAATCATCATCTTTTCATTTTCATTTCCAGTGCTCAGCGGGCTGTGCTTTTCTTCCTGCCCAACGCACACCCAGGTGAGTGTGGTGGCGCTTCTTGTGCCTGCTGGTTGTGTGGTCGATCATGCAATGGTGGTTTCGAGAGCACTGCAGGATGGGTGCAGTGGAGCACGATTGCGCTCCGCTCTGAGAACAGAATTCTTAAAGCCCCCTGGCTTTGGAGAGGGAAATAAGGAAAGAAGAAAAGGTCCCTGCCGTGAACAATCACGGGATAGGAGAGCCGTATATATTGCAAACAAATTTAAAAGGCGAGCTGAGAAAAGCGCTCTTCCTACAAACTAAAGACAAAGATCCCCGTATAGCTGGAACATACTTTTGGGGCAAGTGCTGTTAGGGAGCACCTATGAAGGCCGGCACGGTACACGAGGGGGTGGGTGTCCACCACCATGCACGGCCGCCTTTGTTTACCGAATAGCGATGTTACCATGCCGCACCAGGTACTCATTTAAGGCTGAGTCGACCTAGGGGATGCCCAGGACCGGTTCAGATACTGCCAGTGGTGTTGGCCGTGAGTAGGAATCGAACTCGGGTCGCCAGGCTCGTAGCACAGCAGCTCGCTAACCGCTACACCACCGCACTACCGCTTTTCCTCCATGCAAACACACACAAACACGTGTGTGTTATAGTGGGATACGTGTAATCCCTAAATAATGGATCGGCTCTCTCGCTCACTCGCATACGAACACCGGCCGGGAGCCGCTGAGCTAAAACCTGGGAGCGAGTGGGGGGGGGGGGTGGCGCACCGCCTTCTCGCGTTGGCGTGAGCGTGCGCACGCCACCACCACCACACCATGTGAGCCCGCGCGCGTAATCAGATCGCCTCGCTTTCGCTGCCACTGACCGCTCGATAAGTGGCAGCGATCTCACGCGGTGCCGCGCCGATCAGCGGTGGCTCGAGCAAGCCCGTGCCGCCGATCTCGTTTTTGCTTTTTGGGCCCAGCCGTTTTGTTGCCTTGGGTTTGAATGGCTTGAGATAGGAGGCGCACCTGTTGCCGCCAATTGCAGACCAGGTGAGGATTAAAATCAAGAACGCGTGCGTAATGTGGCAAGGCTTTGAACATGGAAGGAAAGACCAAGGGCAGAGAAGTCGAAGTGCAGAGTCCTTTCAGTTTCAGTGTGGGGTGGCATTGATCACCTGATTGGGTGCCCAGTGTTCAAAATTCCACATTTCTCTGGTTGGTCGAGGCTTGCCCACGAAGTGGTACTCATTTTATGGACCCCGGGGGGGATGATGGGTTAAGTCACTCTCCGACTGGGATTTGATTACGAGTCGTGCACTCTACCGCTGCACCATCCAGCTGGATTCCGTTCAGCAATATTGGTTATTTGCTCATTACCAGCGATGTTAAAGACCTTAGGATTTTGCAGCCAATATTATAATTGATCGATGAATTTTGGGTTAGGCCACATAGTTAAATTTGAATTAAATCATTTGTAATGGTTACAATCTAGCTTAAATCTGACTGGTTATTCGGACTTCCTGGTTTTTTATTCTGACTTCCTAGATCTTGTCCTGATGACGCTTGACACCGACGCTTGTTATCCAATTGGTCAATTTAGTTTTGGCCGTGTCGGGTGACGGTAAATGGTTCTAACAACGGCTTCTAACAACGGGTTGTAACAACAAATTCTAACAAATTTCACCCTAGTGAGATTGAAAAATAATGATTCGGTAAATGGCAACAAACGAACGATCATAAGAATTCAAACCGTGGATTTCTCTCTTCATCCTTAATTTAGAGGTTGCTGTTTAGGGAAATAAAGCACCACAGTGTTGGATCTGTGGCTTTTCCAGTGGCGGAAGTAGTTAGGCTTGCCCACCCCTCCCTAGTGGGGATTAATGGCCGCATGGAGTGCACCACCTGTGTGGCATTAGCCCCTCGCAGCGATCGTTTCCACCCGCGGTGACGTCACCCACGGCTAGCTTTGCCACCTGGGCAGACAGAGTGTCTTGTAAAACGCAGAGGTGTGCGTGGACCCTCCGCACACTTTTATGTGCCCCCATCACAGTGTTGTCTGTTAGCCATTACGTACGTATTTTACCGTGACCGTGTGTGTGTGCGCTGGAGTGGTGGTGCAGTGTACTGTGAATCATAAACCGCTCTACGAATTGTAGATGTAAATTCGATATTCGGCCACATCTTACATCGGTGGCGAGTACTTATTCAACTGCTGCTGGCACCCTCCCCCCCCAGCCTCCCCCACTGCCCACTTTCACCATCGTGGTGAAGTATGGTCAAACATCCCCCGTGACCGACACAGCATGGCGAGGCCTTAATCCAGAAGCGGATTTACAAAGGGCTCTGGATTACTAGTCTCATATGGTAGCTGTACTCAATACTTGCTATTTGAAAGTCACCACCGTCATTGACGCTTATGTTCAATCACTTGTTCAGTGGGTAAAAAGGGAGCTTAAAAATACCCCAAACATTACGTCGGTAAAGCATTAAGTTCTGGAAGCCTACCCCTTGAGGTGTTTGTATTATAATGCAAATCCCGTAAAGTACGTGCGTCCGTGTGGCTGTGTGTGTGCGCGTGCATGTGCATACATATGCATCCTTATTCATGTGCTTTGCCAGCACGGGAAACTGACATCGGTGACCTTGGCTGTGACGCGGCTGCAATGAGCTCGAAGGTGCCCATGAGATGAGACCTCTCTAACCCTCATTCTCTTACCCCTCCCCTGCCGTCCCCCCGACACCCCCTACGCTGCGCATCCCCGTCTCCTGCCGCTGTCGCCAGCCGTTCGGCGTGAATCAGCCGGGTCCCTACGTGCAGTACACATCCGTGGACGCCAACGGCTATCAGAAAAATGCTTCTGGTGAGTGGAGCACGGCCACCTCGCGGCCGGCAGTCCCCGCACGCAGCCACGGTCAGGTACACGGCGCTTTGTCCGGTGCAGCCGCAGCTGATGGATGCGGCGCCGTTGTCCATCGGAGGCGCGTTTGAGATGTTGGCCGTGCGTTGTGCGTCGCTGCCGCACAGTTGTGTACGCGTTGTACTTGCCGCTACGGCCGGGGTTAACAAAAGCAGCATGGTGCACCATTGCAGCCACGGCTGGTGTACATCGCACCTCTCCATTGTGGCCACAGTCACGTACACAGCAGGCTGTGCAATTGCAATTCATCTCTTGAAAACAAAGCGGCCTTTTTTATAGTCACAGTGACACGGTATTCATAAACTGAAAACACAATGGGGTGCCCTTCCCTGGTTTACGGTCTGCTCATGAAAGGATCACTTTGGCTGCCATATGCCAATAAGATGAACCATAGCTTCCCCTGAGCAAAGGACGCCTTTAAAATGCCAAAGGCTTCTGAATCAGGCAGGTGGACCATTAACATATGCCAATATGTCTTGTGTGCTGCTGCTGCTGCTTTATGACTTTTGCTCGAGATTCTGGTATAATAGCGGCGTGCTTTGTTTTGCATATTCCAATATCTCATCTCCAACTAAGCAGCCAGTCTAAGAGCATGGATCTGAATAGCAAAAATAAAAGTTTCCAAATGTATCACTCCCAGATGAATGCCTGGAAGTTTTGTGCCAACTCAAGGCTGCAACTTGTCCACAAGTGCAATCGCAACACGGTCGTGCTGTCAACGGTGAAAATGTCCAAACAGGAAATCTGGTTGCGGTCGTGGTCTTCAAATCGTTTGAGTGCGGGATACAAACTCGGGACCAGCGTCGCAGCTGCCCCAAAGGCGGATCTCATCAAAGCCAACCCGCGCGCACACAAGCACCAACAAATATAAAACGAATTAACAGTGGCGAATGAATGAAAGCAACGAGCTCAAAGCTGCATGAGGCAATGCGGCTTGGAATAGGCGAAGTTGTGAATGTCTGCGTGTGGGGCCAGCGTCACTGGGGGGGGGGGGGGGGGCACATTGTGAGGGGGGGGGGGGGGTGGGCGGAATTGAGCCAAGCGGATTGTGTAAATTGCACGGAGATGGAGGGATTTCCGTGTTACCCCCCACTCGTCTTGCCTGCCCTCCATTCCTCCAGTCTTGCTCGCTGTGCTACGCCTGCACGGCTGCCTGTAGTTTTGCCACACGCGATTGGTGTGGCGCCGCGGTGGTGAGATGTTAACTAATGTATAGTTTGGTGTCAGTGAGTGTTTGCTTCTGAGTCTGCCCACCTGGCCTGCCCATGGGGCTCCCCAGCAGAGCTTGCAGGCAACGGCACCTGAGATTGTGTAAATGCATTGCCGCAGCTTATCTCGGCGGCAACCGCTGCATCCGCCACCCAGGGGGGGAGAGGATGGGGTTTATTTATTTCGCCACCGTAATTCATGCAGAGCAGACGCATGACAAAGGGGCTGTGGGTTTTCTGTTTTTAAATCCTTTATATTAAGTTCACTTGCTTGCTTGCTTGCGCGTTTACGACCATGCAAATATTTCGGTCGTTATTTAACCCACTTCCCGTGATCCAATCGAGCTGACATTTTGCACACAGACTCGTTGTGCGTGACAATTTATTTTCGTGAAAATTTTTTTCCAAAATTTTCCACTTTTTAGGAAAAAAAGAAATTTCACTAACACAATCATATATTTTTCCTAAACACAGAAAATTATTCAAGAAAACGACAAAAATGTACAATATAACCAATCATACAAAAACTGAAAACCTTATAATCCTTATATACGACATTCCTTATATTTAATTTAAAATACCAATGTGATAAAAATGAAACTCTTACTCAAGAAAAACAGAAATGAATAATAAAATTAAACCGATGCCACGCATATAAAGGATTTATAGTGAAAAACTTTGTTTTTACGGGTTAATTTTTTTTTTTGCTGCAACACCACCTTGAAGGGAAAAAAAAACGGCTCAAAATCTCACTTGAGCAGTTTAGACCCGTTGAGGCAAAGTGCTGCTCTTGAACACGCGTCAAGTCCGGCGAGCTCACGCAAGGGATTTGGTTGCTGGTGTGGTCAACGCTGCACTTTGCTCTATCGATTTTCCCGTGCTCGCATTGAACACATTGCCCTGGGTATTCATTTGAGGCTAAGTTGACCGAGGGATGTTCAAGCCAGGTACAGATTATATTCACTCCCCAGACTTGTAGATCATAGATGGGAATTGAACCCAGGTTTGCAGAAACCAAAGTACACAGCCGTTACTACTATGCAACCCCGCTCCACTTAAAAATGCACACACACACTTATCACTACCAAACATGAAAGAGTAATAGTTCGGGAAGAGCTTTGCTCATTAAAAATGAATATTCTCCACTCATAAGTCAGGACTTAATCGCTGAAATTAAAGGAGAGGTTTGTATTTTGCGTAGTGTCTCTTGCCTCGGGCACAGTCAGGTGCGCTCGCTCGCTCACTGGCGGGCTCACGGCGATGGCTAAACGCTCGCCCATCCAACATTTTAAACGCAGGGTGCACGCACACCACAAATTGGAGCAGCACGCCTAAGTCGTCTGCAGTTTTCACAAGCGTGTCTCATAGGAACGGCTTTTTTTTTTTTTTTTACAAGAGCCCATTACAATGCACGAGCGATAGAGGAAAGGGTACAATCATTCCGCAGACGACAAGCCCCAGGCCTGGTGCCCACGGCGTAAGGGGAGGGACGGGCGATTGGACTCCCTGCCCCCCCGCCCCCCCTACTCACGTAGAGTTAATGATCAGGACGCAGGAACGACTCTTATAATGCCGCGGAGAAGTTTCCCCATTGAGCCGCCTCGTTCAGCAATAGAACGACAAAACGAAGGCACATTGCCATGACACGCATTCCCGACCGAATGCCTCATGGGCAAACGTCATCACCCATGGCTGTTTTCGCGATGTGATCGCTGTATTAATAATGCAGTTGCTGCGTTGTTGATTCACGTATTGTCTCGGCCTGTGCGAAATTACTACACTACAGAGGGCCTCCATAAACTCAAGGGCACTAACCCTGCTCCTCCTCAGTCGCCAGATGGGCTGGACGATGCCAGGGTACCTCCTTTTCCTGCGACCGCAATCGGCCCGCTGGGTGGAAAGAGGCAATGGCGAGTGGAGAAGCGTGCCGGTATTTTTCAGCATTATTTATTTTAGTTCGTCAAAATTATTAGCCGTGATCTATCCACGGATGGATAAAGGCCTCCTCCTCCTACCGTCGCCGTTCCTAATGGTCCGGTGATGCGACCGTCAATGCCACTCCTGCACGTGAGTTGATCTCATTTCTCCATATGGACGGTGGTTATCCTCTCCAGTGCGCTCTCACATTTGGCTGACATTGCATCAAATATTCCATACTTCGGCCGTCCTCCTATCAAGTGTCCTGTCCGCGCCCGCCCACTTTCGAAGGGTCAATACGATGATTCCAATTTGCGTTTGTTCCCGATACAGGTTTCCCTCGTTTTGTGCGGTAGATGCGTTCCAGGAAAGGGCACACAAAGTGCAATCCGGTGGCATGGGCCGCACAGTCACCCATCCCACAATGCACTGCACGAGACAGCTGCCTGGCGAGCGCGGGCATACAGCGCACACGATGTGGTCCCACGTCCGACCGCATAGCTGTATATGAGTGAATTCAAAAACGCAAATAAATAGGTTAACCGCAATATCACACAAACCGACCCTGCATAAAGCAAGGGAAACGTGTACATGAGTTACTGTTTATATCTCTAAGTCGATATAAGGTATCCAACAATGCTTCTCTTTGCACTATTCAGTTTTTGTTAAATTTTTCGAATTGTCTTATTGTTAATGATATATTTAATAATAACATTGTCAGTTACCTCTTCACTGCAGTTTTGCCGCAGGTGACCTTTGAAAGAGATATGTTTATCTCAATAGGCTCTATTATGGTTATAAATAAATGTAATTGATAGATAATTATTAGTGCATGTGCAGCACCTGTGCCTATCTACTGCTGGATGAGGGCCGCACTACGCCGTGTGGGTTGTAGGAGCTGTTTGGCTACACTTGACCTTACCCGATCGATTTTGTTTATCTCACCCAAAAAACACCATTGAGGAAGTCAAGGGGGGGGGGGGGGGTGGGGAGAACCAGGTTCAACTACCCTTGCTTACGGCTCAAGAGCCCTTAATGTGGAGTGTGGCGATGAGAGGTGGCGGTGGGATCAGATGGGATTTGAGGGAGCCCTGGGTCCATGCACACACCTTTGGACAGAGAACCGGAGATTGAATCGTCACGAGCACCTCGCCACGGTGCGTACTGGGGGACGTTGCAGCCCGCGTGTGTTGGCAGAACGGACGCTCCATCGGCCGCTCTTGTGACCACCGCCGTCCGCGCATTCCCAGCGGCAGGGCGTCGCAGAGGTTCCGCGGGTTCGACCTCCCGGCAGCAGGGCCGCCCCGGTTAACGCCCCGCGTGCACTGACCCGCAGAATACGCGCGCCGTCCGTCTTGACGGCGGACGTCGAAGATCCCGTGACGGCCGGCCGTGAAGAGCGGCCAATTGCATGCCCGGGTCCAAATTGGTCCAAATTTGGCAAATAATTCAAAAGTTATCCTCTTTGGTTCTTTCGGTAAAGTCACGTAGGTAGAAATAAAATAAAATGAATCACGAGGTTTCGATCGCAACGCAAGCAATCCTCATCAGGTGGGACAGCCACAGCAAGAAAATGCTGAAGTTGGCGGGAGAGCTGCCGTGGCAAGAGGTTATATAGGTAAGAGAGGGGGGGAGGAGAGTGTGGGGTAGGGGGGGGGGGGCACGTGAGCGCTCGGGGAAGAGGACGTGAGGCCAAGGGGGGGACAGTGGGCGGGGCTAGAAGTGGGAAGCTGGAGAAGAACCGATACAAATGTGCTAGTAAACCTGCAAATTACTCAATTGGGAATACGCATAGCAATGTCACCCCCCCTCCCTCAC